AGTCGCGAATAAAAACGGTAATGCTATTTTTTTCGTAGCCACGGCACGAAAGAAATTTTATTTAGTCGAGACTCGTTGACCTTCAAGGCTTTGTTCCTCGAGAGGCGAATCGCCGCGGGAATGCAGCTTTAAGGTTTGTCAATTGTCACGAATATGTCGGATTCGAATAAATTCGCAATCAATGATTCGACGAAGAATATTTACCTATGTGTATACGCGGACGATATTTCTTAATAGCGAAGAAGTTGGGTAAATACGACTGAGCAGAAGGACAATGGCAGGTCGTATTTCGTGGTTCGTAGGTTAGGGACGACAGAGACAAGGAAAGGATAAGGATCGTTAAGTTGGCTGCGGTGATCGTTGGGTGAGAAATAGCGGCTCGCGGTTCTTCTGTCGCATCGAGACTTTCCATGGTGCTTCCGTGTTGGCACAATTAAACGGATTAACGAGCGCGCATTTCGCTTCTTAATTTTCTTCCGAGTCGAAACACGAGGATGCGCGAGAATACGACCGTGATTAACGTGATTTTAACGTCGGTTGCAAATTCGGAAGGAAATTATGAAACGCGACTATTATTACATCAGTTTATTTCGACGTTACACGCGGTCAACTTTCGAACGATCTCGAGATAATGCGAAGGACTAGGACAGTCGGTAACATCGCGAACAGTAGGTATACAAACGATTAAAAATTCTTCGATTATCGACCGTACCAGTGATTCGAATGCGACCGATATTTTCAACGGTACCAACGCGAAACTATTTCGGTGCAAATTTTCTCTTCGACTGTACCGATAATTTCGAGTTGCTTGATATATGCACGCAGGTGTACCAACTTTATTATTTTCAGAAAAAAAAGGTCACAGCTCTGACACGTACCTTCTTGGTTGGGGTTGTTAACGTTGGGGTTAGGATGAGAAGTCAAAGAGGACGGCGTGTCATCCTCGGCGACGCCCATCGTTGTTGCTGCCGTTTGCTGATGATGCGTCTCCACTTCTGTAGCCTCTTCGCACCTGGAGAATAAAGACATTGCAAACTTTCTTCTCATTCACGTTCGCGCGCATAGTCTACGTGTATTTCGAGATGATTGCCACTGATATATAACGCAATAATCAAATTACACGAAATCTCTTATCCTCGTTGACTCGATAAATTACTCGCGATAATCGCTAAGATAAATCCAAAATTAGAAATTTATTTTCATCCGAGACTGTATTATAAATAATAAAATTCGTACTAATTACTTATACATAAAAAAAAATAATTACAATGCACGTGATTGGATAAAAAAATTTTTCGAAATTATTTTCTTCGGAGGAGCGATCGCTCTGGCTAGATTCGTCCCTGATGAAACGATATTGCTCGCAAAAGAAAAAAGAAAAATTAGCAAAGCATCGCGATTCGTGTAACTCGATGTTTTAGAGGGGTATGAGGAACGAGGTACAGTTGTTGGATTACTTTTTGTCCCGTGAGAAATGGCGTGGTAAAATTTTGGCCTAAAAACTGGATAGGGGTACTTTTTCTCAAAGCGCGCGACATTTCTAAGCGAGCGCGATTCGAGACAGTATTTTCCACCAATCGCATCCATACCCTCGCGAATAGAAAGTGCTTACGTAAAACTTCGCTTTACTTGCAGCGGCAGAGTCAAGGACCCGATGGAAGTACAACGTAAAACGTATGTACGAACGCGCATCCGCGTAAACCACAGTTTACGTTTACAGTGTGCCGCGTGAGCCTAGCTCATTGACATCTGACGACGCGAGAAACCCAGATGCGTGTGTACATACACGCATTTCTGTCGCCCAATACGATCAATCTGTACGAAGCCCGCTTAAAACGAACAAAATTTCAAATGCTCACCGAAGAAAGTTTTCGATTTGGTCACTTCTCGGTCATAGAGCATCGAGAACGTGACAAAACTATGCATAATAAAATACTGCGCAAACAGTAAACTTTCTCTGCGATTGACGTACTCTTGACACAACGTGACGCGCTAACGCGCGTGTCAATAGTAACGTAATCGTTTTTGAAATATATTTGCGTCCGATTAAAATACGTGACAAATATTTTCCCGAACTTAGTCGCGTTAATTCCGGGTGAAAAAGGCGCGAATGATTTATCATTGGAAAAATAAACAGGGAAAAAAAGGAAAAAATTGAACTGACTTCAACTACGTCGAGATTTCTCGGAAAGAGTCGTCACGAAGTTGTCGCGTATCGATATATCCCCGTCGCGTCGAGTCGAGTCGAGTCGAGTCGAGTCGAGTCGAGTCATTTATCTGTCGCGTATCAAACAGATCGACCTATATTTAACTCACTATCGGCAGTCCATGACAAACGGTCGTGGTCACATATTTACGATACGTATAATTTCAATTCAAAATATTCATTTTTAACGATTCATCTAAATTTTCGATTTATTAAACAATCAACCGAATACTTTATTTCCGTAAATAACGAGAATATAATTAAAGGACGTACAAACGAGTGTAATGGGGTATAGGTTGAAAGGTAAGATGCTTAAGCCAGCGTACTGTAGATACCGTAATTGAATTATTATTTGATAACGCGTTTTACGATGTAGAGTAAATTTATATTCGGAAAAGTGAAAAACGCAGTGTCCGTAAGTTGGCGCGACGTGATGCGCACAGCGAAGAGAGACAAGAGGAGAGAATATCGCGGTGTCGCTAACGGTATATTGACCTCCGCGATGCCGATTGCCGTAAACACATATTCTATATCTCGCACGTGACTAACTACTATGCCTGTTTGAGTTTCCATGTCGCGACATTTCTTTAATTTCTCCCTCAGTAATGCATCCCTGATATTTCGATATCGATTGTTGCTTGCGCGATGATTCCAGATTCGTTTATAACTCGGCACTTTCACGCGATTCGCACGATCGATAATTCTGTTGAATTTCGACGGGAAAAAAATTAGGAAAAAAGAAACGAGTTATTTGGAAATACCTTACTTGGACGAAACGTGTTCCACGGAGTGAACGAGAAACCGTTTAGTCAGGAAGAAAGAATAAAATCGTAAATTGGAAAGAAGCAACTTGGTTCGCGTGGTAAGGTAACGTTATCGTTTGTTCGCGGAGCTTGACTCGAAAGGCTGGCAGGTTGAACAGACCCAACCGCGACGGAGATACGTGTTCCCCGTAGCGAAACAGGCTCTCCTCCGTTGACTCGAGCAAGACACGCTGGGTCGTTTCTCCTTCGGCCAACGACCGTCTCTCTACCTTTAGTTTCAACACCGCTCCCTTTATGTGTGCCTCTACATAAATGCTATACGTCCCGACTGAACCCGACGTCCGAATCGTGCGTCTTTTCGAACAGCGAGCACCACCAAATGCGCGGCGCTGCTTGAAAAAATTGTCCTTGGAAATAAAGCGCTCCAGAAACATTCGAGTCCCTGACGTGCAGGGATGCGAGAAAAATATAGCGAACACACTCGCATGGTATACGTATGTAAAAGTAAGAAATACATTATTAGTCGTGCTATATTGTAGAACTTGTTGATAAACTTTTCTATACGTTTATCGCAAAATATCCTGTAAAATATCGAATTTTTGTTAGAAAATTAAATTTTCTCTTGTTAATAACAATTTAACAAAGATGCATAATGATTAGACATTAAATCGCTATCGAATGATCGAAAATCGTATGAAAAATACGTTTGAATGAAATTATGGAGAAGGCATAATGTGGATGGTTTATTTCAAAGATAATGTAGGTTTGCGTGTTCTAGCGCATAGTTTTCTTCGAAAAAAGCAGAAATTATAAAACAGGTGCGGTTTATCGCGAGTTTAATGCATTTTGAAGCGTTTAAGAGATGAAGGTCGATGAAGCAAAATTCGAAGATGAAGCAAGAGTGACGTTTTCGTGGAAGAACGAGATCAAGGATCGAGTCGAGAAGCTTTTGAAAGACAAGACCGGTTTCACTCGCGTTCCTGTCACGATATTCATAGCTATGCGAGTATAAAAGTGTATAGAACAACGCTGATAAAGCACCCGATAGTATGCGTAGAAAGAGACATACACGGATTAAGCGCGAACATACATAAGGGATTATGTGTTGTGCAGAGTTCAATGTAAATGAATTGTATTTATAACAATATTTTCTGCTTCTTATCGGCAGTTTTCCGTACCGTCTACGAAGACAATCTTTTCCACTGTCTTATACTCGATGAAGAGCCGTCGCAACGGATGCAATGTTCGCTGGCAACGAAACCCTTTCTTCTCCTTTCGCCATAATTTTCTCGTGAAATCCGGCACGCAACGAACGCCGTGTATTTTCGAAGACACACCGTACTCACATCTTAATACGCGACTCCGTCTTGAAACTGCATTCGTAGGCCCGGTATTTGATGCTTGGATGTTAGAATCGCGTCAGCTCTTTAACCAATGTTACTCTCGATCTTTGATATTCACTGTATTGCACTCACTCACCACCGCGCTCCCCTCAACCCTCGAATAAGATAGACAATATACTCGGCCGAGTTACAGACCTACCGAGCTACCAGCTATCGTCCCGAGTCCCGGCCAGTTCTCGATGTCTCTTTTCCGCGCTGAGAACTCTTCACTTTTCAGTCGAGTTTATTTATCGATTCATACAGGATATCGAATTTCTGTTTATCTGGATCACTGAGACCACTCGCCTTGAGAAAATCTCGCGTTGATGTCTTATGGACACGTACGAACCGTGAAAATCGTGAAAACGATGAGATATTGACAAATACGTCGCGGCGTCGCGACACTGTCGACTAAATTTTATTCGACCACCAGATGGCGCCACGTTGCGATCCCTCGTCCTTTAACTCCTAAAAATATTCATACTAAACAATGAAATATCTCGTATACCTAAGCCTTTTTATACCATCGATATATACCATATGTATTTTTTTTTTTTTTATTTCATTTTTACTTACTTTTTAATCTCCGAAGAAAATCAATTTATTTGCAAGTCAATTCGAATAATCGAAAATATACGTACATATGTATGGATCATTAATTCCATTTAAAATCTTATACTGGCTCACTGGTATTTTCAAAGTAATTAAATATTTTTTTCAAAGCACTTAGCATATGTATGCTTCTAACGAAAAATCAGAATATGGAGGAAATTATATTATTTATCATTTAAAATAAATACAATATTTTAATTGTTATGACATAATTTAAATTAATAAAATTGTTAATTCACTAGGTTGAAGTGAGACGTTCGTTTTATAATTTTACTAAACTTTACATAATTATTAAAATATTTATTTACTTTTATTTCGAATATTAATCTAACTATAGACTCAAGTAATAATAAATTACCAAAAATGTTACGAAACTATGATAGATAATTTATTATGTTTTCGATTTAATTATTTTATAATTTATGATAATAATATATAATTTTTAAATAATATTTTACGAATCAAAAAATATGGCGGGGG